AAGGGTCCAGATCAGCACAAGGGGTCTGGCCCAGGGACTTGCACCTCATGGTTAGGGACAGAAACATGGGGGTGGGTGTCCACCCAACCCAGACCCTTTTTATTCCTAACACTCCCAGACCAACAGTGGGAAGTAGAGAAGGCTCCACAGTGCCTGTGGGAAAGAACATCGTAGCCCTTGGTCGTCTTCCTGCCCTGCTGGCCTCGTCCCTGAGTCAGAAGTAGTGGCTCAGATCCAGAGTCTGGGTTGGAGCAGAATTCACATCCAGGTCCTAATTCTCAAGTTCAATATTCTGCCCTCTTGCTTGTGCCCCTCCCCACCACCACCACCAAAGTAGCAAGCAAAGGCTTCTTAAAGGTGGGATCCAGCATCTCCTTGGATATGAGTTACGATGCATTGACTGCCAGGGCTCCCACTCTCCCACCTAGTATCTGTTAACTCTACACTTTTTGACAGCCCAGGGGTTAGAAAAGAAACTGGGAATTTGGGGAACCTGGAGACTTTTCACAGCCTTCTCTGGAAGGAAAAAGATGCTGGATGACAGAACCTACTGCTGGGGGCTTGAGAGTTATACCAGCAGGGGTGGGGGACATGTGTTGGGGAGATAAGGTCTCTGGTAATGTCTATTGAGAATGGAAATGCCATCTCAGAAGGGGCATGGCTGAAGAGCCCAGCCTCCATCTCACCCAGCCTAGGGTCAGGATGCTCAGAGGGGTACCTTGGTACTTGGTAATATCTACTCTGCCCACCTATGCCTGTATCTGCCCCAAAGAGAGATGTCAGGCTCTTCCAGGAGGAGGACTTCATGGCCCATCTGTCTCTGGTCAGCTGCTTTCACTTTCTGTGGTTGGTATTTGCTGGCTGCTTCAGCTACCAGCCACAAGCTGGCTGTGCCTCTCTACCAATGGGGCTGACTTCTTGGCTCTACCTTCACGCCTTGGCTGGATCCAGACTTGTACACGAAGGCCTTGGCACCACCCTGCCCCAGGAAGCACCAGGGCCATGCCAACCACATTCCTTACAGCCCTTGGCAGCAAGGTGCCCTGAGGGGTAGCAGCTGGTTTTGTTCTCTCATCCCAAGAGCCTGTCAAAAGAACTTGACCTAGACCCTGACCCTGACCTAAGACTCCCTGGGTTTGGCCTTGGCCCTTGTAAAGGTATTTCTTCCTTCCTCAGCAAACAGCATTGAGGCCTTACTAGGTGCCAAATTCTGTGATTAAAAACTCAGGTTACAGAGCTGATTTCAACACCAAATATGCCCTGGAGGTACTCGAAGTCAAGTTGGTGCTGTTATTGGGGGTGGGGTAGGAGCAATGGACAGACTTATAAATAGATAAGTGTTATCAACTGTTACCAGATGGAAGCCCAAGGACTGGAGGATGGTCAGTTCTATGGAGGGAGGGGGTGGAGAGGGTGGTCAGGGGGCGTGCAAAGAATCTTGGAATATTTGCTCTGGAAGGAACATCAGGAAGCAAAGCCCAACACTCTCATTTTGTGGATGGTGAAACTGAGGCTCAGTAGGGGGAAGTTACTTGGCCAGGATCACTAAGCGAGGTAGTGGCAGGCTCTGGGACCCTGGTTCCCAGCCAGGGCCCTTTGAAGGTACCAGGTACCCTTTCTGGTTTTCTGTATCCAGATCCTTGTGTCCTAACTCCACTTTTGGAAAAACATATGACATCTCTATCCAACGGTCATGGTCACCCAAGAGGTGCTTGCTCAGGCCCAAGGAGCCAGGCGCTGCCAGTCCTTCCTCCAGAGGCAGTGTGGCCTCCTCTAGGCCTAGAATGGGGTGGTTGAGTTTTTCTCTCTCTCTCTCTCTCTCTATCTCTCTTGCATTTTTGTGAATCTAATGATGAACTTACGCTACCACACTTTTCCCTTCTCTTACACATCTTACCTACTAAAGGAGGAAGTGCCACTTTATTGGTAAGTGGACGTTAACCAAGAGGGACTTAAAAAAAAAAAAAATCAGAACTTAAAGAAAAAAAAAAAAAGAAAAGAAAAGAGAGAAACAGAAAGACAGTCGGGTGTTACTGACAGCTCCACAGGTCTCTGCAGGGCCGGAAAACAAAGAAAAATGTTAACAGAAAAATGTCAGTTCCCCAGGAGTTCAGACATTGTTTTTGATTTTGGTATCTAATGACATTTGTGGATTTTGTTTTTTATTTGTGTTTTTCTTCCCTTCGGTTTAGTTTTGAGTTCAGTTGTCCCGCCCCGCCCCCACCCCCATCTTTGTGCCGTGTGCCC